AATGTAAGACACTACCTTTTACTTGCCTTCAGCAACCTGAGGTCAACAGCTTGTGGCAGTCTCTGCTGGGGCTTGGTGGACACAGGAAGAACCATGCTGCACACCAAGGTGGGCTTTTACCAGCACTGGGCCTGGGAGCAGGTCAGCAAATGTCCCAAGGACATTTTGATTGCCTGTTAGACTCAGACACTGAAAGAGCCTCTGTCTGTATTCCTCATAAGATCATATAATCCACAGGTGAGGCAACAAGGAGTTCAGAGGGTACAGCTATTGCTTTCGCCCAGTCTGATGCTGCACAGAAGAGAGTGCTCCACCCAAGAACAATGGCATCTGAGATATGACTAAGCACAGGGATCCTGGAGGCTAGCCCATCAGCTCCTTCCTGGAGCCACAAAACCCAGAATCTCCTTTCTAGACTCTAGTCTGCTTCACCCTCACTTTGCCCTCCCTCTGACAAAGCCCAGGGTTAGTGGCTATGATCAAAATTTTGTGTTGTGGCCCTTTAAGAGGCTGAATATGTCTCTGTTAGACTCTTGCCTCTCTGGCAGATAAAACCACTGTCGCTTTTCACAGCCAGACATTACGTGTCACCTCTTCCTGATTTTCGTGCTCTGGGCTAATGAACCCAGCTTGAGGTGTAGACCCCACACTTATCAGTGGGAACCCCTGTAGCTGAGATATCCCTTTGGAATCTCAGCTGACACTTACAGGAGTTGGGCCAGATCTTTTTGCATCTCCATCCTTACTACCAATTTTGGTGTTGCCTATTTTGTAAATCATTGGTTATAAGACCTCTTCAGCTAGTCTTCAGTTGGCTATATGGGATGATTGTTTCATAATTTAGTTGTAATTTCAGTTTAGTCCTGGAAAAATGTGAAAGTAGCTTCCACCTACTTTACTTCCATCTTGAATTTTAATATTTTTTATTGATATCTCTCCATGCCCCTTAGTCTTCACAACCTTCTCTTGAAGGTATCAGAGTCAAAAAAAGCCAGAGAAAGAGTTTATTTAATCCAGAATTATCTAAAAGTAATTGCTATTGGTTGCCACAGTTATAACTAGTTGGAGCCATAAAACAAAAGAAAACATAAAAAGTTTTCTTATTGTATATACAATATATACAATATAATTGTATACAATATATTGTATATATTGTATAGACTATCAGCCAGTTGATACTCTCTGTAGCCATCAGATTACATTTCACCATTAAGCAATACTAACAAAGTAACAACAACACCAAAGTTATTGTAGTATAGGAAAAAGAAGAAACTCTGACCCATCTGAAATAGTTGGTCTTGCTGTAAAGAGAATACAAAATAGTTTGTAAATTAGCTGGTATATGCATGCTAAGGACAAATTAGAAATAGAGACATGCCCTGTGGTAGTGGAGAAAATTATTTGGGACAGATGTGATGAGAGTCAAGAGTCAAGAATTGTGATTTATATCCTTAAGTTTCTTGTTTCTGGTGCTTTTTTTTTAACAGTACGCTTCTGTTTTGAATGATCTCTTCTACCAGAACTCAAGGGATTGGAGTATTTTTCATCTATTATGAGTTATTGTTTTGATCAAAAATCTGAAAAATACCCATTGAGAATATCATCATTTCAGGTATTTAGTTTATTATTGGTGTAGACATATAAAAGCCTAACCAGCCTTAGAAAAGACTGTTCATGTTTTACTCCTACTCCAATTCTATTTCTTACCCTAGGAAATAAACAGATAGTAAAATAACCTATAACAGTATTTCTCACAACTCATTGATCATAAATCATTGCTTGGTAGCTGATGTCTAATAAATATTTTAAAATAGTCAGAAGATGAAATTTTGGTTATCAAAAATGCTTTGGACTGAATCCTCATAAATATTACATATGTCTTGAGCTTAGCATTCCTTTGTCTTAATATGTTATAATTCATTTGGCTTAAATTTAAATATACTTGTGACAAAAAAGCGAAGACTTTATAACAAATACTAAATACTGTTCTGTGGCAAGAATTTAGACATTAACTCTCCATTAATAGTAAAGGTAAAATAATATCAAATGGGTCACAAAGTAAAAATTATAACAAAGGTGGACCAAAATTAGGAAAGTGTGTATCAAATACTGGTCGTAAAAAGCACTAAAATTTATTTTCCAATACCAAATATTAAAGTTAATGGAAAAATCAGAAGAACTGCTAGTAATTTAATTCAATAGAGAATTGATAACATATGCTTATCAGAATATTAATGGAAAAAGTCTCACACAAAACTGCTCATTTTCAGATATCATCTCAGAATGGCAAAAAGCTGTAAGTTTTGGCTGTTATGATGATGATTTCCATTTATGTGTGTTAATCATGTATACATAATATTAAATAGGTATACTCTATTTTGGCAACAGCATTTCATTATGACTCCAAATGTATTTGCAAAAGTATATTTCTTACGACTTTGGCACCCACAAATGAAAGTGATCACTAGCTAATTGTGCATGGAGTCTCTGAGAGCTGTTTAGCATTATGATTTGGTCTTCAGATTTGAAATTGTGAAAGATCCCTTTTTCTTCTCAGTGAGAAACAAATGCCACTGGTTTGCTCAGTGCACAAATATATTAACAGTCTCACAGGTTATATGTGGTATAAAAATGTAACTTCCTGTTTTCAAATTAAGCAAGGAATTTTACCCTGAATTTAGTCCCGTTATTTCCAATTTGCTGAGTTCAATTATTATACTGATTGTACAAGATAAGCTATCTAGTGAACATAGTATCAATGTAGTTAATAGTATTCAGACCACAGGGATTGGGTGGACAAATGAGGGACCAGAACTGATAGCACGTAATTTGATATTATTTGTCAGTCACCCAGGTCCATTGTTTCCTAACTATTCCTGTTTCTTCTAGATTTTGTACATTTGCCTCTCCCATCCTCCTATTATGCTTTCCTGCATCCAACTTGTGTATTTAAAATATTTATCCTTTAATGCCTGTCCTTAATCTCATTTATACTATGATAAAAAAATTATTATCCTCTGATGTCACTTACTTGCATTTCAGATTTGATACTCATACTTTCTTGAATCATTTGACATATATAATTATTTAAATCTTAATAAGTCCAACCATTAAAAGACAATAAACTTCTTTTAACCAAAAAGTCTAACAATTCTTTGTCTTAATAGTGTACAAATCTCAGTGGCTTTCATATAGGAGTTAACACTGAAAAAAATGAAAAGATCATTAGAGAGTCAGATATGTATATTTAAGCATTAATTAGCTCTGTCATTTAAAAATTTTGAGAGATTTCCTGTTATTTGAGCCCCATAAGAATCAGATACAGTATCTCACTCAGTGAAATGGAAGAATTTCTGGGTTGTTTACCTCATACTTGATTATAAGGAGCAAATGAGATCGACATGTGAGTGGGCTATATTCATATGTGAGTGGATATATTGCAAATATATCTCATTATTGTAATAAGTGTTTAATACATGTCTGAGCATAATTTTTAATACCTAGTTTTTAATTCACAGTATTCAACTACAGGCTTTAGCTTTTTTCTGAGAGAAGACAGAACAGAAAATCTCCCAAATATGTAAACTTGTGAAAAATATAATTCAATGTAATAAGTAAAGGAAAAAAGGAAGTGAAAGATGGCAGAAAATAGAATCAATAACTGTGATGGGAAAGAAAGTCTGTAGATCTGGAGTTGGACAGAGCATGCAGCTCAGTAAGGCAAGGATTTTATATTTCTATGTATAAATGCATATTTAAATGTAAATAGTTTTTTAAATTTTTTATTGTTGTTCAATTATAGTTGTCCCCATTTTCCCTCCATTACTCTCCCTTGCCCTACCCACCCCCCACATTTAATCCTCTCCCCTGTTATCTTTCTCCATGGTCTCTTTATTCATGTTCCTTGACTTGACCCTTACCCTTCTTCCCCCCATTATCCCCCACCCTCCTCCCCTCTGGCCACTGTCAGTTTGTTCTTTATTTCTGTCTCTGGTTATATTTTGCTCACTTGTTTGTTTCACTGATTCTGTTCCACTTATAGGTGAGATCATATGGTATTTGTCTTTTACCACCTGGCTTATTTCATGTAGCATAATGCTCTCCAGTTCCATCCATGCTATCATGAAGGGTAGTAGCTCCTTCTTTCTTTCTGCTGTGTAATATTCCATTGTGTAAATGTACCACAGGTTTTTGATTCACTCATTCGCTGATGAGCACTTAGGCAGTTTCTAGCACTTGGCTATATGTGCCAGTAGGTTCTAAATATTTCATTAATTTCTCTAATACAAGCTATATTCTTGCCCTTAAGAAACATCAATCTAAAGTGCTCATCTTGGCACACATATGAGGTCTGTCGGAAAAAGTTGAGCCATCGTTAATATAACAAGACTGGTTTGCATGATGCTGATGTAACCTGGCAGCCAAGGAGAGTGGACTGGAATGCACATGCATGAACAAAGATGACATCACTGTACTACTCAATGGGGGTGGTAGACACCGTTGGGTGATCATGTGCATTGTGTGGCCATTGCATTTAAAATGACTGAGTGAATAGAGCAGTGAATCTGTATCATGTTTTGCATTAAGCTTGAATATTCCTCCACAAAAGCTATTTTGATGATTTAGAAGGCCACAGCTATGGGAAACTGGTCATTGACAGCTTCATTATAACAATGTGCCTATTCATGCATCACATCTCATGCACAGTTTTTAAGTGAAACATCAGATCATGCAGGTGACTCAGTCCCCCTACAGCCTAGATTTGGTTCTCTGTGACTTGTGGCTTTTCCCAAAACTAAAATAAACCTTTGAAAGGGAAGTGATTTCAGGCCATCAGTGAGATTTGAGAAAATATGACAGAGCAGCTGAAGGCGATTGGGAGAACTATGTGAAATCCCAAAGCTACCTACATTGAAGGGGACTGAAGCATCATTATCCTATGTTTCTTGTATCTTGTACTTTGTTCATTAAATGTCTCTATTTTCCATATTACATGACTGGAAACTTTCTGGACAGACCTCATTTACTAGAATTGGAGCAAAACAGAGAAAAGTGGCACGACCCCTCCACAAGGATGGCACACAGGTTCATAAAGCATTCCATATGAGAGAGAAACAGAAAGGAATAGTTCTCTTATAGGATAAAATTTTGAGTTGTAATATGTGCAACACTTCACATTCTAAACTTATTAAATAATGAACTCACACTATTTTTTTTATTTTGACTAAAAGACAAATAAAAGTAGCTCTATAAGCTGCAGTTTATATGTCATGCTAAAATTATAAAATATAGATTATCTATTTAAAAAGAAAAATCATAAACACAGGAAGTAAAACGGAAAACATATTGTTCTTTAAATAAGGTATGTTATGTTTTATTTATATTTTACTTATATTTTTATAAGTAATATGATCAAGGAAGAAAAAAATGAAGGAAAAACCACATACAGATTTTTGATTTGTAGCATGATAAAGATAGAGAAATACATAATGGCAGACACAAATTTAACAGGCCTTCTAAGAATAAATGGGTTATGTAAAATAAGTGAAAGATGATTTATAGTAAGTAGAGTAGATTTGGTAAGTTGAAGGAAGAATATCTATAAACAAATAAATTCAAATTTTTGAAACACATTATCTGCCCAGCAAAACTTTTATTACAAAATACCTGTGAATGTTAAATAGACTATTACAAACTTAAAAAAAATATCTTGCCTGGAAAGATTAAAGAAAAGAAAGGAAAATGTCCACAACCAAAAATGAGAGTGACTACAAAACTGGAATTGATATTGTCTGTCTTTGGAGAGTATCCCACAAATGTTAGCTAAAAGGTTTGAGTTTTTTATGTTCAGTAAATACTAAACAATAAGACCTAAGGCTTTCAAAATTTAGTAGTATGACAAAGGCCCTTTGAAATAAACCTCAAAATCTACATGTCTTATAAAGTGGTAAGTTAAAAACACATTATCAACACAGAAATACAAGAGGAATTCTTTCCATCTCTGAATGAGACAAAATATTGCCATGACAATATAGACTTGGAATGGCACTTCTCATGACTTTGGGGTTAAATTTTATATTAACTGCATGTTTTCCAAATTTCTAAGCATAAAAATGTATATGAAAAGTATACCAGGGCCCTACTGAACACACCAACAGAAGCAACCAAATTACTGTTGGGATGAATATGGCTTAATATGAATTCTCAATTGACTGTATACTCACAGCTTGAAATTACAGAACATCTAAGAATAAAACAGTAGACATGTCCTACTGCCAGATTAGACTGAACTATTGATAGAGCTATTGGGAAAATCCTATAAAATCTGAGTGTAAAGTAAATGTAGTCTTAAAATATTCAAAATCATAGAAAAGAATAAGACACTATCAATAAAGAACAGAATTACTTGTACAAATAATTGAATATTGTATCTGCTCTATACCCAAATTCTTCACCACTCTCAAAAGCCCCACATAAATTGTTATTCCAAAAAATAAAAATAAAAACAAATAAACCTAAAAAATTCAACAACAGAGCATGTAAATTATATACATTGATCAAAGTTCACAACCTGTGAAGTTTTGGTTAACAACAGGCTAGGCAAATATTATCAAGGTTGGATATTTCCCTCACCATTATAAAATGTTGGTTTTGAGGCAATGATCAGTTTATGCTCAAGAAGGCTTCAGAGAAAGCATTGACCTTGGCCTTTAGCAATTTTCAATATAATAAAAAAGACATGGATAGAAAGAAGCAACATGTAAGATAGGGAAATGTCATGTAAATGAACTGATAATTTCAGAAAGGTCAATGGATATAGTCACTGGAAGGAGGTCAGTAGTGAAAGAAAGAAAATTAGGTGAGCAGGTGTGGCAGAGGTTTTTTAAGTCTGTACATGATGTGATAGCTAGCTAATGGGTTTTACATCTGTAGTAGGCACAGATGATAAGTTTAAGGAGCATGGGCACGGCTGTGATGACTCTCCTTGAAACTGGTGGTTTGGAAAAGCTAAATTATATATAAATCCTGATGATTTCAACCTCCAGGTTAATTTCTCATCTCTCAAAAAGGTGTGCTCCGAGATTTCTAGGCATCTGTTAAGCACATTTCTCCCAACCCATAACTTTTGCCTTAGGTGTAGTAAATGGCATAGTAAGAGTCTCTTATATTTGCTGCCTTTCTACTTGGGAGATTATTTGGATTCCAGAATTCTCTACTCTAAACCTAAATAAAGGGCTAGAGTTAGCTCAGAGGCCTAGTGTTCTAAGTTCTCTAAATTAAAATATTTCTTAGATCTGGGAGAAAATGCAAAATGGAAATAGTTCTTTCTGTATAGATGTTTGGAGATAAGATTTGTAGGATCTCCTATCTGGCAGATTTATAGCATTATGTGATGAAGACATGTCCTCAGATTTCAAGTCTTTTAACTGAGAAGCCCTGAAGTTATTGTAAAAGAATTTTCTGTTGGTGAGACCAGGATTATTTGGGCCCTGAGTTGCTTCCCACCTTATACAGCATAAGTTTTAAAGAGTAAAAATTGCATAATACTATAGTATTACATATCATTATCACAACCATTGCAAGCAAATGTTACCTTTACTTTTCTAATGCTGAAATAATTTACCCTTCTCCATAGTTATTTCTTAATCCTTTAAAGATATCAATATTGTACTGTATTTATAAGAAAAAAATTTAATGAGCTCTCCTCATAGATGGTATATGGATTTCCATTTTCTTAGTAGTAAGTGAGTTTGTATATTTTGTGTGTATGTGTTTGTATAGAAGAACATGTGGCCATGGATATATTTGCATAATGTTCTCAGTTCATATTTTCATTGTCCTATTAAGGTTTTAAAGAAAGTAAAGAATAAGATAAAAATAAAAAAATAACTTATTAAATCACATTTTAACTGAAATTTTTCTCAATTCATAAATGCTCGGATTTAAGGAAAGGATCATTATAAGGAAAGGATCACATTTAACCTTCTAAAGAAATAAAACAAGCTTTGCTATCACTACTTTTTACAATGGTTCCACGAAGGTGGTCTTTTATTTCACAGACATAGTATTCTCCTATTATATATGACAGCTACTACTGTGTGTCATCTCAATATAGGACAATAATGTAATTCCAGAGTTTCCTTCTAAACTTAGTGACCCGGCTTCTCTTACTGTGACAAATGTTTATGGATTCTTCTAATTACACGTCTGGTTTAAAGCTAAGATACCAAGAGAATACAGTTCTCTTTTGTAAAGTTCCCAAGGCTTTTCTATAATAATCAATTACCATAATGAGTTTTTTTAAAGCTTCCATTCATCATTTTCTTAAAATATATAAACTACCACGATAAAGATAAATAGCCATAGCCAACAAACCCTGAGGCACTCTACCCAAGGTTTCCTTTAAATCAAAATCAACTGGAAAACATGTTGGGTTTTATTTCAAAGTTAATTCTGCTTAGGTTTAAAAAATGTGTAAAACAAAAAAGGAGTAAAATAAAATCCGTGACAAGTTAGCTTCACAAGAAGACAATGTATTATTATCACAATCGTTGTAGTTCACATATATTTGATGTTTGTTAAATGGATCTCCCTACCCAGCTTTTATACTATTAAAACTGGAAACTAATTGTTTCTTTGGGTTTTTCCTCACCTTTTCCTCACCTATTAACCTAGTGCCTCTTTCTGTTCTTAGATAAACAGTACTCAAATTGGGAGTTATTTGGCAAGTCTAACTAAACCAAGGTTTCCCAACCTTGGTATTGCTGTTATTCTGGGAGGTAGAATTATCTGTTGTGTGAAACTGTCTTGTGCACTGTAGGATGTTCAGCAAAATCCCTGGCCTCTATCAAGCAGCTACAAATAGCAGACACCTCCTCCTCTGAATTGTGACAAAAGTGTCTTCAGATATTCACAGATGTCCCTATGGAGCAAAGCCCCCCTCCCATTTAAGAACAATTACTCTCTATTTTCCATAAATATTACATATGAGAGAATTCAGTAAAATATTCTGGTAGCATAAAAATGGTATGAAATTAAGAAAACTAGGGCAATAATAAGATGATTCAGCTAGTTGGAACTTGGCAAGGGTGAAATTGGGTAAGATTTGGATGATGATGGAAGAAATGATAATGAAGGCATGGAAAGGTTTCTTATATCATTTAGCAACAACTATCCCTTTTAAAATTACTATTTCTTAAGTGTAGACTTTCTGAAAGATATGTTCTTCAATTTTTCTTATCTTACATCTCATGTATTTATCATCAACTCTAGGAAGCCATTTCAGCCTTCACATCTCCTCTTAAGACCTGAATGAAAAATAAGTGCTGTACCCTCTCACCCTATATATCCTCTATTAACTGCAATTTCTTCCCAAGCTGTTATTCTACCAAGCTTTGGGGCTCCCAAACATGTGTTTGTAGCCAGAAGGATTATTTTTATTAAATAAAAACTGCATTGCTCAATCCTTGCCCTTATAGTTTATTTTCATGGCATTATATCCTATATCCTACCTGATAACAGAATAGAAAGTGCACAAAGATTTGAAATTTAAAAAAAAATGTTTTTGAGTTCAGTCCTAGCTTTACCATGTTCTATCAGTACAATATCAGTCACGACACTTCCACATTTAAATTTACTACTGTGTAAAATGAAGATTCCTCCAAAGGTGGGGGTATCACCCAATAAAACAAAGTCTTTAATATGAATTTTAAAGTAGATTGTTTTCCTTTCCATGGTTGTTTCTGCTGCTACCCTGAATGAGGTTCCTACTCATATCACTGTGTTATATATTTTCTTCCAAACTTATCTTCCTCCTCACCAACCCTATGCCATTGGTCATGATCTCCTAGTAGGTATATGAAATGACCTGATTCATAATGTTTATAATAATCCCAGTCATTTCTCCTATTCTCTTCTTTGTTTTGCCCTTATTCTCTTACTCTCAGTTTTGTTCTTGCCTTTATTGATTATCATTGTTTTGATGTCATTTGAACTTACTAAATATGTTGATCATTTGTTAATATATTTTTTATAGATTTTATTTATTTTTAGAGATGAAAGGGAGGGAGACAGACAGAGAGAGAAAGAAACATCAATGTGCAGTTGTT